CTTTCTGCCTCAGTTTCCTCATCCTTAAAATGGAGATGATCATAATTCTTCTCAAGTTTGTTGGGAGGATTAAGAGAAAGTGAACACTGATGTATTTACTATATGTGGACAATGACACATAGGAAAGCTTCAATAAATATTAGTAATTACTTGTGTTTACTGTGCACCCACCAAATGATAATCACTCTTCTAGTTCTGAGAATTCAGCAATGAACAAGAGAGATAAAGACCCCCTATGGTGGCTTGGCGCCTGTGGCTCAAGTGGCTCAGGCACCAGCCACATACACCAAAGGTGGTGGGTTTGAATCCAGCCTGGGTCCACCAAACAACAATGATGGCTGCAACCAAAAATATAGCCGGGCGTTGTGGCATGCACTTGTGGTGTCAGCTACTTGGGAGGCTGAGGCAGGAGACCCACTTGAGCCCAGGAGTTGGAAGTTGCTGTGAGCTGTGATGCCACGGCACTCTACCCAGGGGGACAGCTTGAGGCTCTATCTCAAAAAAAAAGACCCCTATGGAGTCCAGTTACTAGTGATAAACAAGTAAACAAGATAATTTCAAATAGTGGTAGGAATGTGAAGAAAAGATAAGGTATGGGAAGGGGGCCAGGGAGCAGCTTTCAGCAGGAGGCAGGAAGGCATGGGAGGCCTTCACAAGGTGACGTGTAACTGAAGCTAGGTGAAGGAACCATTCATTGGGAAGGTTCCTTCATCTCTTCATTAGGGAAGAGATGGGGGAACAGTTTGGGCTTAGGCCCTGAGGCAAGAAAAGTTGTTTTGTACAAGAAACAGAAAGGAGAGCATGGCAGGTGATGGGAGCTCAGTATGTGAAAGGAAGGAGGCAGGGCATGACATCGGAGATTTGGGAAGGGCTGGCAAAAAGGACCTTGTAGACCAGAGTAAGGAACTTGGATTGTACTCTTAATGGACTGTAAACACACCAGAGCCACTTGTGCTACAGCAGCACTCTCTGTCCCATGGAAGAATTTTTGTGTTTTCCTGTAGTTCTTTTTTAGAAATACAGTTCTGTGCTTCGTAACATTTTAGTCAATGATGTACTGTGTTGGCCCATAAGATTATAATGCCATATTTTAACAGTACCTTTTCTATGCTTAGATTTGCTTTAGATTTGTTCATCATTGTGTTAAAATTGCTTGCAATATTTGGTGTAGTAACATGCAGTACCGGTTTGTAGCCAAGGAGCTAACAAGGAGCTAACAATCACCTAAGAAGGCATTTCTCAGAATAGATTTCTGTCTGTTAACAGTCCTGTGACTGGTTGGCTATCTGTGTATGTACTTGCTAGGGGAGTAATTTTTCTGGGGATAACCCATTGGTTACTCATGGGGTCCCCCTGGTGGAATTGGTGGCTCATGTGCAGTTTCAGATCAGGAAAAGCAGAGTAAAATCAGCAATTTATCTCAAAGTAAATGAATAATTTATTCCTTTTTTTTTTTTGAGACAGAGTCTCACTATGTCACCCCCTGTAGAGTGCGGTAATGTCACAGCTCACAGCAACCTCCAACTCTTGAGGCTCAAGCAATTCTCTTGCCTCAGCCTCCCAAGTAGCTGGGACTTCAGGTGCCTGCCACAAGGCCCAGCTATTTTTTTGTTGTTGTTGTTGTGGTTGTCATTGCTGTTTAGCTGGCCCAGGCTGGGTCGAATCTGCCAGCCTTGGTGTATGTGGCTGGTGATGTAACCATTGTGCTACTGGTGCTGAGCCAACAATTTATTCTTTTCTTTTCTTTTTTTTCAAGTTGGACATTATTTCTTTATACAAAGGTAATCAATACTGTGGGTCCACCAGCATCCTGCTGCAGCTCATGTGGGCTCGTCTCATTGCTTCTGGGGTAGAGGAGTCTGGGTAGGGGGCACTGCGGAGGGAGAGATACACTACAGGCCTGGGAACTGCCAAGCATACCAGCTGGGAGCTCCTGAAGGGCAGAGACACAGACACAGGGACACTATAACCAAGAGCATGGCACACAGTGACAGGAAGGATGGTGGGCCAGCTACTGCCCTCTTCTCTCAGGTGTTCACTAGGAGGAGCTGAGGACCTGGGGCTGAGAAGCCCAGCTGTGTCGCTCCAGAACCACGTGGCTTGGTACAAGCACAGACTGTCTCGCCTTTATGCATCTGTAAACTGGCAACAGTAAAGGGTACTTCACAAAGCTGCCATGAGCACAGATGAGACTGAAATAGGGACATTTATCAAAGTAATCGACACAGAGCCTGGCACACAGAGGGGTTCAATAAATAATTTTTTGTCTGGAAAATCCCCCCTAGAGGATCTTCTTCAGAAGGCCAAGATATGAGATAACCTTCCTAGAAACTCTCTCAAGGCATTGGGACCCTTGAGGACTCCTTGGAGCTTACAGCCCCCTAAGTGCCCAGGCCCCCAGAATATATGGGGCCAGGACAGCTGATGGGGTGGGGCTGGACACCCAGGGAGGTTCCCACAGAAGCCGGGTATACTCTGGAGGAATTGGGGTTGGGACCAAAATGATTCTGCACATAACATAGGCCAGAGGTAGGCTGGTAGGGAGGCAGGCTAGGCATGTGCCCAGAAATGCAGGTGGGCCAGGTGGCTAGTTTCTGACCACTGGCATGCTGCATCTGGGTGACAGGGTGGCTTGAGGACAGGTGAGGGTGACAGCTCTGTGTGGGATAGGTGCTGGGCACAGGGTTCAGCTTCCAGCTTTGGACTGCCCTTCTTTCCAGTGAAGATCCTGAGATGTACTTGAACATGGATATCTTTCTCATGGGCTGAAGGGGAACTTCTGATCAAGCTTCAGTGTTACTCACTCTTGCCAGTTGCACAGGGCCTCGGACTTCAGTGAAAGGCCAGAAGGTGCCAGGGGTGTCTGCAGCAGGAACAGGTGGGGCCAACACCAGCAATGAGAGCAGCGCAATGAAGAAGGTGGCAGATGGCACCTCGGGACACAAGCACCTGCTCCAAGGCCACCACTGTCACCATTGCTACTGTGCGCCTCTTGGACAATTTATTCTTTCATTCAACAAATATTTATTCGGCACCTACAATGTTCCAGGCTCTGTTCTAGTACTGAAATACAGCCATATGCTAGGCGCAGTGGCTGAAATACATTCATAAGCAGATCAAACATCCATGTCCTCATGGAGTTTACATTCTGGTCAGGGAGAAAATAAATATACAAGCAACTTGTTGGATGTGATAAAAAGAGAAAAATTAAGGAAGGCACTGGAGTAGAAAGTTCAAGGACAATGGTAGTGTTCCAATTTTAAATATAGTGCCAGAGAGTTCTCATTGAGAAAGTGGCATTTGAATAAAGATGTGGGAGTGAAAGGGTGAATGATGCAAGTATCTAGGGGAAGAGTATTCCAAGCACAGGGATCAGTGAGCACAAAGGCCCCAAGCACATGAGCAGGTCTGTAGAAAGGCAAAGGGGCCAGTGTGACTTAAGTGGAAGGATGACAGAGAAAGTAGACTAGGTTAGAGTTAGGCTGTCAAATCTTGAGAGTCTTGTAGGCCAATGTAAAGGTTTTGGGTTTCAGTCTGAGATAGAAATCCATTGGAAGAGGGATAGAATCTGATTAAGGTTTTAACAGCAGCTCACTGCTACCTTATGAATAGATTATGGGAAGGCACAGGTGCTCACAGTCATGGATGGACTGTGGCTTATACTAACAGGTAGTAAACTGTCAGATGCTGGACAGATTTAAAGGCAGATTCTGCACAACTTGTTAGTGAATTAGATGTGACATGTGAGAGAGCAGAGTTAAGGTTATAAGTAGACGAAGTTATAATAGTATATTATTGTCATAGAAAATTGTGATCAAAGAATATGCAGCCAAAATATAGGAAATAAAGTATTTTAGAGGTATATCAAGCAGTTAATTAATACAAATCGTGTTTTGTGGTATTTGTGAGCTAACTTCTGATTTCTTTTCCTTTCTTTCTTTCTTTTTTTTTTTTTGTAGTTTTTGACCAGGCCACCACCTCCAGTATATGGGGGCGGCGCCCTACTCGTTGGAGCCACAGGCACCGCCCTAACTTCTGATTTCTTTTCTTGAACTCCTGACCTCAAGTGATCCTCGGCCTTAGCTTCCTGAAGTGCCATGATTACAAGCATGAGCTACCGTACTTGGACTGTTCTTTTCTCATTATAAAAGATTCACTTTTCTATCTCATATTGTATTTGTAATTAGGATTTTTTTCTTAAAGAGGGCCCCAAACTGAATTAACTTCAAAGTCTCTATAAAACCTGAATTCAACATTGCTCCTTGCTCATACTTAAGTAGTAATTTAAAAATTAACGAAGGATTTAAAACTTTTGTTTCGGGGGGTACCTGTGGCTCAGTGAGTAGGACGCCAGCCCCATATACCGAAGGTGGCAGGTTCGAACCCGGCCCCGGCCAAACTGCAACAAAAAAATAGCTGGGCGTTGTGGCGGGTGCGTGTAGTCCCAGCTACTCGGGAGGCTGAGGCAAGAGAATCGCCAAAGCCCATGAGCTGGAGGTTGCTGTGAGCTGTGACGCCACAGCATTCTATAGAAGGGTGACAAAATGAGACTCTGTCTCTTAAAAAAAAAAAATCTTTCGTTTCTGAAAGGAATGTGCACGAAAATGAAGTTAACTATAAGTTCAATATACTATTAGGAATAAACTAAATTCGGGGACAAAAAAGGATCACTCTTTGCTAGCCTCCCAACTGTCTTCCAAAACTTCCCACCCATTCTTCCTCCCAATTCTTCTAGATCTACTAAATTCATCCAGCATTTCTCCTCACGCTCCCTTTATGTAGGTAGGGATTACACGCGTTTAAAAAGACTTGGAGAAACGAGGCTGGTAGTACCCTTTGCTGGGATGCTCCACGATCTGCAGCGCGGTAGATTTCATCTACGCGCGGCACTACGGAGACCAGCTGAGGCCAGAGAGACCAGGGGCGGGGCTCACCGGGGCGGTGGAGTGGGCGGGGCTTAGACGCTTCCTCGCCTCCCGAGGCCCGACGCATGCGCCCAGAGGCTTCTAGTAGACCGAGGTGTGGATTGAGGTGACCCTGGCCTCTTACTTCCGGTTCTTAGGGATGCGTATCCGGGTTACACTAGCGCCGCGGTTTCCTCTGCTCGCTAGATTCTGCTGTGGGTGTCGACCGGTCCCATGTCCTGCTGTGGGGCTTCTGTACCCTTTGGGTGAGTCTTTGCTTTCAACAGGGCCTGAGCGCACCCGAACGAGTATAACCTGAAAGAGGACGGGTCAAGAGTTCTGTCCCAGTCCTTGTGGGCGGGGGTCTCTTCGCCTGTCCCTTGTTCCTGCAATGCTTCCCTCACTCCAACCCTTTCCTGCACGCTGGCCTCGCCTCTTTCACCTTAGCTTAGCCATCTCGCCTCTGCGCACCTCTCGCCTCGCTGTTTTTCCTTATTCTTATCATCAGCCGCTTTCTAACCCTGGTTTCCTGCCTTCCGCCTCAGCGCTTCCTTCAGCCACTGTCTCTCAGTTTTCCTCTTACTCTTTTTTTCCCCATCCCTTGATCCGGGATCTTGCCGTTCTTTTACCCAGAGAGACGGCCCACCTGCTTATCCTCTTCTCCACTGGGAAACTGAGCCTCTGATCTTAGGTCCAGTTTCTTCACCTTTGACCCTTTCTCCTGGGACTAATAGGTGCCAGTGCTGCTTCTGGGGTTCTCCTGCCTGCTCTTACTTAGAAGAGGGTTTTGCCTTATTGGGTAAGCCCCAATCTGGGAAGAGTTCCTGAGCCTAGCGGAAGTTTTGCCTTGAGGGCGCTGGGTTAGTCTGAACTCTGGTGGCTTCCGTAGTTAGGGAACAACAAAGGCGTTTCCAGTTTTTCTCTGGAGCTCAGTTTTGGGGCTTTCTCAAGAGCAGCTAACAGGTGGCAGGCACAACGCATGTGCCTATGTTGTCCTATGTTCCCATGAGAATGGATGTGCATAACTGAGGCAAAAATGCGAATGTTTTGAGACAGTCAGCTCTGTTTTCTGCACGGGTTTTAATTTATAGGACAGATTCTAAGAGAGAACAGAGGTTTTTTTTGGAGATTATTAGCCCCACACTTACTTATTTATTGCCAAAAATCTTAGTGTGTTGTAACCGAAATGTTTTCTGCCTAGAGTTCACTACAGTACTTTCCATTAGGATGAGAAATCTGTGACAGATTTTTAATTCAAGGCTAAAGTCAGTTACGTTTATGTTGCTGGTCTTCATACAGAACAAGGATAGACTTTCTGATTTACAGATTACTGAAAAACCTGCCCCACCACCTGGCCACTAAACTAAAGGGGGAAAAAGAACCCCAAAACAAAATCACTAGAGACAGCTTAGTGCATGTTTGTTTTTAAAGCTCAGGAGAGGAATCACTGTCTGTTTTCTATAGAAATTTCTACTTTAGCTTGGCAGTCTTAGTCTGTAACCCCGAGGGCTCAATTTAAAATATTCTTCTGCATATTAGTTTTCTATTTTGGTTTGATTATTTTGGGAGGGTTTTTGAGGGTCATTTTACTTGCTATCATGCTCTGTCTTACATGTTTTAATTTTTGTCCTTGGGCCCTATGGTGTGTTTTGAGGAAGATGCAGTTTTAAAAATTTAAGAAGCAGAATATACTCCCAACATGCCCTTACTGTTTGTACCTTGCAGCATCATGGTTTCCGTGATTTGCCTAAGCTGTTTAATGATTTCATTCTCTTTGTTTTGATTACAAATAAAAGACTCATAGAATAGAACTTCTTTTTTGGTAGTCTGTGTGAAAGATTTTTGTGTTCTGCTTATAACAGGATATTTTAGCTCATGTATGATTTAATCAGAGGAAGAATAGTTCAAAACAGAAATGTATATGTAAAAATATCAGGAATAGTTAATTCTCATATATTCATCTACTTGGTTTATACCAAAGGATTGAATTGTTATAGTAAAGTAGAAAACAGGTGGACTTTCCATCTTCTGATTAACTTAAGAATACAAGTGCACCTTCTTATACAGAATGTACGGCTTAAGCTATAAACTACCCTATTGGTAGTGCTACTCTTTATGGTCAGAGAACATAGCAAATAGTGGAACACATCATCATCTTGGTACTTTTGTTTGGTCTCATCAATTTAAGTCCTAGGGTAGCTAATTATTAAATGTTGAAGTAATTAAGGCATTTTCTCTGTTATTTATAGTAACTTAAAAAACAAACATTTAAAAAGTTAGGCTTTTTCATAAAACTTGTCTTCACTGTTTTCCCTTTATACATGCGCAATAGAATTTTGAATCAGAAAGGAAATATGTAGTTTAAATAGTACACTTATTGTAAATAAGTTAATAGAGCAGCCCTAGGCAGTCACTACTTAATATCTTAAGTACAGATTGTGTTGGATGCACTTTAACTTATTTTAGCTTGGTTGATGTTAGTACCAGTTAGATTTTTTTTTTCTCCCTAGAAAATACTTAGCAATAATCTTTGTAACACATTTCTTTCAGCAAATGTTGTTTGGCGCACCTGCTGTGTACAATTATAATACATATTTAGACTGTTCATATGATTATGTGACATGCATAGGGCTGACATTTATCCTTAAATTCTAAATTTGGTTTGATTTTGTACACTTGAAAATTAAAAGACTTTTATATATTCTAATATCAGAATCAATTAATATAAAATCATTTTTTTGTTATAGGTAAAATTAAATAATTTTCTTTTTCTTTTTTTTTTTTTGAGAC